ACACATAGAATCGATGGGGACTTTTCAGACTTTATTTGTAATGGTAAGCTACAGCTCTCCACCAAAATTTAGCTTTCCGGCAATTTTTGTAACTTCAAATGTCTAAATTGACCGGACTAGAGATAGACTCTGTCGAATGAACACATCATACATATAAAATAGTAATTAAATTTAATTAAAGTACATACATTAAGTATTCTAAGGAAAAATTTTGACAGTGTAGAAAGTATGTTAGTATTAAAATAATTATACGAAAGTGTATAACGTTGGATAGAATAATACATAATGTATGAAATCAGAACATACCTAAATTAGAGGAAGTTAATTAGGATAGTTTAGTTTGAATTAGATAGTAAATTATAGCTTATATATTAGAAAGATAATATTCTTTTTCATCTCGCGTAACACATAAAAATTTCTAATTATTATTATATTTTATATCGATAGAGAGCAAATTATTGAAAAAAAAAAAAAAAGATATTCTACTCTTTACAAAAATTAATATCTCTTTGAATAGAAAAGAAGAGAATTTAAAATAACCAAACAAGTAATTAATAAATAATATTACTAAAAATAAACAATATTACTGAATATAAATAATTATTAAATAAAATGATTATAAAAAAACAACATTCTGTTTATCCTATATGCATGAATATGCACATATATATATAATAATAAATATTATTCTTTATAATTATTATTGTAATATTTAATTGTGTGTCGACGACGATAGAACTTTCTCCATTTCCTATTTCTTTTTAACTTTCTTTCGTTAAAAAGATATAAGATACTTTAAAGTTTCATTTAGTTGATCGAAAGAAGCAAGAACGTCGTTCTCTATCCTTATCTATAATTGTCTCCCACGGTGTCAGATCTATTTTTATCGGCATGACTCACGTTCAAAAGAGCTACGAAAAGTTTTATTCTCAACGGCATTTATTTCCTATCTTCTTTACTCTATTTGAATATTGTTGATCTGTTCGTACATATTCATATATATATATATATATACGATTCTACTTGCAAACGATTAAAACATCAATTGATCTTTTGCTTTTACGTTTTAGAATTTTTCAGAGTAACAGTATTGTGCAATCAATGAAATATTCTCCCATGCCAGTTATAACGTATTAGTGTACGTGTATGTCATTGTGTATGCGTGTGTGCACGTACACGTGTATATCCATGTATAAGATAAACTTTTATTTTTATTTTTATCTTTATCTCTTTATCTCTCTCTCTTTTTTATTGTTTCCTTTTACGTTGCGTTTAAAATCGTCGTTTAGTTAAATTTACAAAATTCTATAGAAAAACATATCACAAAGGTCGAGTTTAATCGTAAATTTCATTTCAATTATATTTTGCTTGATAAGATAAATTAAAATGTAAATTGTACGTGTTTTCTTCACGTTGATTATGCGTCCACTTTTTTTTCTGTTTAGTATAAATTAAAGAATATTAGATCGGAAACTAAACGTGTAGTTTATATAACAAATATATTACTTTCGCGTTTAAATAAATTTGAAAAAAGAAAAATTCGAAAGATGCATACGTTATAATTAAATTAAACAAAATTTCCAATTAAAAAAAAACAAAAAGAAGAGAAGAGAAAAGCTGTCTGTCAAAGGATTGGGTTGCACGTATCGCGTTGAGACGAGCGCGGGAAAATTTGAATGAAAATATGAAGATAGATATGACGTAGATGATGACGTAGCAATGGACGAGTATAAAAGAAGAGGTAAAAGTAGAAGTAGAAGGAGTGAACGAGGAAGAGGAGGAAAAGGAAAAAGAAGAAGAAGAAGACGGTGAGGTGGGGTGGGGGGTGGGGGAAGAGAGAAGGAGTAGAAGTTAGTAAAGAGGGGGATAGAGAGAGAGAGAGAGAGAGAGAGAAAGAAACTGTTAACTTACCTGAGTACGAATATCATTCATGTTGGCGTGTTAAATCGATCGTGCGTTTCGTTTAGTGATCTTTCATTCCCTTTCCATACGCGTTGGTTTCCTGTTCGTTTGTTGAAAGGAGTTATCTTCTCTTAAATAAGATAGAAAGAGAAAAAGAGAGAGAGATAATACGAGAACACGTCCGCGTGCGAGTACTCCAACGAAATGACTAGGTGAGCTCGCTCGCTCAACTCAAGAGACCCGGCCTCCCGACTACGACCTTATCGAGAAAGAGAGAGAGAGAGAGAAAGAAAGAGAGAGAGAGGGATGAGTGAGGGACAGAAAGAGAGAGAGAGAGATAAATGAGAGTGAGCATTTGCACGAATTTGATGTAACACGTAACGTTTCTTCGAGGAACCACCTGTAAGGATGCATCTTTTGATACGTGGGTGTTGAGAAGGATGATTAGTAAGTTCGAAAATAGATTATTATAGAACGTATTATTTGTTAGTTCTATTATAATTTTTTGGATATTTAAGATACGTTACGAGTGATTATTTTTGTTTGTTTGTTATGTTTTATTGTTGTCTAAAGTAATTGGGCAGAATATTTTTCTATGATAAAATATATTGTAATAATATTAATTGGTGTATATTATATTGATTGGTATAGATTGTATAGGGATTGTTTTATTTAGAAATGTATTAGTATATTGTATTCTTTTTTGATATTTCAAAAATGTGCGTAATTTATTTCTTAATTATTTTATAAAATAACTCTCTGCAATTATACATTTTTACGAATTAATATTACTTTTTATTAATGTGTATATTCCAAGGGTAACTTTTAATTTGGAAATAGATTAGAATAATAGAAGTTTCTATATCTTTTTCTTTCTCTTTCTTTAGTATAATATTTAAAAAATAGTATATATTATAAATATAAAACTAATTAATTTACTCGTTGATAATCAACCATACTCTAATTTTTTATATACAGTGTGTTTCCCATTTATTATTAAAAATAAAAAATAAAAAAATCTTTATATAAATCGTTTTTAATTTTACAATCTCTCTCTCATCGTAAGAACGATTATATTTTTCTGTGAATTAATTGTTTAAAAAATGTAATATAAACATTCAACTTATATTTATATTTATTGTTAGAAATTTACTTTTACTGTGATAAATGAGTGATCGTCGTTCTATCTCTTTCCCTTTTTTTTTTTTTTATTATCCTTCACAAGGATCGTTCGTTCGTATTACGCGTGGGAACGTAGAAAAAGATCGTGGACCGTATCTCCTAGAAAAGTTTTTCGGAATCGTTTCTCTCTTTTTTTTTTTTTGTCTTTCCTTTTTTATTTTTTTTTTTTGCGAACTCCAATCCACGTATCGATTTGTCTGTTCGCTATCACCGATGTCCGTTCGCACCGGAAGCGCTTCCGTTTTCGAAACTCAGCAGTTCCAAGCCTAAGTGTAAAGTAGAACTGTTGGGAAATCGTGGTTTCGAAAGTTTCTACAATTTCTTTTTTTCCTTTCTGATTTTATCTTGCTTTATTTTATTTTATTTAATTTTTGTTTTTTACTTTTTCATTTTTTTTATTTCCTTTCACTTTATTTTCCATTTTCATCGAAAGTACGCGTAGTAGTAATTCCGTTTCTTTTTGTTTCTTTCTTTTTTACAATAGAATTAGAAAATAAAACGACATATTAATTCGTACAGGTATCAATTTGCCATTTAAAAACAAAAAATTATCTATCTTTTTTTTAATCCTTTTTTTTTCCTTTATCCTTATTTTTCCTTTTTTTTTTGTTTTTTTTTTTATTTACCAAACTCAACGATATTTTCACAAGTCCCAACGAGAATTCACGGTATCCGTTTCGAAAGGTTTATCTTTCGCAGTCACGTAGCAGTTGGCTCTTGCATTTCTCGGGATGCGTTAAAAGTCGAAAGACCAACACCACGATCGACGAGTATAAAGTTTGCAACATCCACGAAACGGCAGGGGCCAGAGATCGTTTGACTTTTGGCCAACTCGAGCTTATTGTTAGTTAATTATACTTTCTCTATTACACGACAGTTTATTTTTTTTTTTATATTTATAACATCTACGATTAAGATACACAAATACTCGGTCGTATCATATTCGGAATAATTAACTAACAATAAGTCTTTTTTTTACATATTTTTTCTTTCCGATCATTTTACAATACTATTTTACATTCGTCAATTTTTCGATAATTTTTAAATCCAAAATTGTATCATCTATTTATCGTTATTCATAATTGTTATTCATTTACGTGTTTCATAATTGTTATTTCAATTCTACCAAAAAATAAAAAAAAAAGTAATCAATATCGGTAATAATAATTTTTTCATGCACTCCCTATTATCATTTATAGGATAATAAATATATTGTTTTTTTTTATTTCTAGTATATTTAAATAATAACACGCACACATGCAAAAATAATAATTTATTTTCTACGAATCAATTTCCACCCCCACCCCACCCCCCGTAAATATATTTATAAATATTTTATTCTTCTTTTTTTTTTGTTTCGAACACAAACAAATAGACAATTAATCACATTTCTATCCCTAAAAATTAATTCTATACATATACAATCTAATTCGTCACAATTATTTATCATATCTTTCAATTTTGCGAATTATTTATTATCTCGAAATGACTTTTTTTTTTGTTCCTACGTCGAATTTAAATTCACGAAGAAGACGTAAAAGCATCATCCTCACCGTCGACACACACACACACACACACACACACATACATACAAAGATCTGCATTTAATACGCCTCTGCATCGATGGATAAGCCGATCGAGGGCCATCCATTGGCGCACCCATACGCATTGCTTTTACGATTGGGAGACACGCGAATCGAGTGAGAAAAAGAGAGACAAAATATGACAGAGTTAGTGTGTGTATGTGTGAGAGAGAGAAAGAAAGAGATAGATAGAACAGAAACGTCTATATTTCTTCGCTTTAATTCCAGTGTGCGCGAAACCTTATCTCGTGGTACATCCATATTTATCGACTTTATTCGAAACGAACAAACCGAACCGCGGCGTGTAACTCAAATCGATCATTTGACTTTCATATCCCTTTTGGCCCGTCTCTCTCTCTCTCTCTTTCTCTTTTTTTCTCTTTTTTTTCCCCTTTTTTTCCTGTTTCTCTTTCTATCATCCCTCTCACTCTATCATCGTGTGCCCTCGTGTTAGCTGTACCAGTGTGCTACTGCAGAGGGCAATAAAATAAAATTAAATAGACCCCCAACGAACAAAATCAAATAATCGTCCTAGATATTCTTTTTCTTTTTTTTTTTTTTTTTTTTTTTTTTTTTTCATTTTATTTCTTGCCTTTTTTCGTTTTCTCTCTTCTTCTTCTTCTTCTTTAACTTTTCTCAAATGGAAGAGTTTTTTGAACGAAAATTCTTGTATGAATGAATTGTCGATATAGATGGATGTATATTATTTTTCAATATTTAATGAGAAAAAAGATAAGAGATAAAAATCACGATGAATTATTATATTTAATTGTTTCCATGTGATTTTGAATTATTACAATAATTATTTTATTTTTTAATTGTGGACAATTATTCTAATGTATTTTACAAAATTTCAATACTAATTTACGTATACGTCACATATTGTCAAAAAAAAACTAAATGCAAAAAAATAATAACAGAAGAACACAAATGACTTAAATAAATCTAATAGTACTCGTAATTACAATCCAAAATCTATTACAAATTACATAATTACATATCTTATCCAAAATATTATATTTCTCATTATAAAGATCAACTTTCTAGTAATCTTTATCATTTAAAAACAACTAACTTATGTTTCTTTAAAATATACAAAGTAATCCTATTGCAAGTGATAATGATTCTATGAAATAGAGATAAATAATATGTTGACACTAGCCAACTTGGTCACTCCCGTTTATCTCCATTTTTATATTTCTTTATTTCTTTATATTATTTTCTTAGTCTATTTGTTTTATACATTTGCTTGCTTGTCCATTTCTTTTTCTACATTCTACTTATTCACTCTTTTTTCCCACTCTACTTCGGACGATTCTTCATTAGATAATCTTATCTAGTTAACCGTTTTCTACCGGTTCTTCTATCATCTTTCAGCCCTTCCCCCCCCCC